AAAAAACTCCCCCCCCCCCCCCCCCCCTTCCTCGGTCCTTTCTGCTATACCGGAAGCGCCAGGATGAACTTTCGAAGGATCACCAGCACCTCCTCGACCTGGTAGGAGCTGAAAACTCCTTCAGGCGCCGTTGAGATGGCAAAAGCGAGCTTCCCAAGCTGGCGAGCCGTCAATGAAAATTTCCCTCCTCCTCCTCCTCCTCCTCCTCCTCCCCTCCTCTCTGCTCTTTCACCATGAGCGGCTCTGCTTCTCCTGCTATTCGTTCCTCTCGGCAGAGGATGTCGGACACGGAGGACAACATGCCAGCGCCCTCAAAGCCTCGGAGAGCAGACATGACGAGATGCTCGATGTCTTCCTTCCTGCCAATCAGCCGATGAGACCAGGACAAGGCTGGGCAGGAGAGGGCAGGAGAGGGCAGGAGAGGGCAGGAGAGGGCAGGGCAAGATGAAGGACAAGAGAGGAGGGGAGGAGAAGGAGATTCTACTTTGAGTTCATGACTGTGTTGTGTCTGTGCTTCCTCTCCACATCAACCAACCTGACTAAAGTCTGCGCGAGCATCGTCAGTGAAGCGTATGGAATTCAAATATCAACTCCAAGTCTCACTCCCACTCCATCTCCAACGCAATCATCATCATCATCGTCATCGTCATCGTCATCGTCATCGTCATCAAATCCAACATCAAGAGCGATAACAACTCCACAATCTTCTCGTCTTCAACATCGTCTCATTTACCTGCCAATCAACATGCTTGAAGCTCGTGTTCTGCACAATCTCCAGCAGCCTCTGATACAAGACCGAGTGGGAGGAAGTCTTCCACTCCCCTCTTGTCAGCCCGAGAGCAAACAGCCCGATGCTGGACCATTGCAATTTCCTGCGACTTGTCACTCTACTTAAAGTTGATTGTAACAATCTTTACGGGTTCTTTTGGACGAAGAAATCTGATGCAAACTTGTTCCAGAGATCAATTGACGAGCTCAACGTAGGGATCCTGAAGAAAACTCAAATCACTTCGAACGTCTGACCCAACCCTTACTTCCTTCCTCCTCCTCCCTTCCTCCTCCTCCCCATCCTCATTCCTCTCCTTATTCTCCCCCCTTCCTTTCCTTCGATCTTATCTCTTTCTCCCTTCTCTTCTCTCTCCTCGTTCTCCACTCCATTCTCCTCCTCTCCCTCCTGCCATAACTCTCGTCTTACCCTGAGGATGCGTAAATCAGGGAACACAAACTCCTTGCGCTAAAGAACCCCATCGGACTCTGCAGCACTGCTTTCTCCATGTATTTGACCAAGTCCGTCTGTTCAAGTCTTCAGCATCATCAGCGGCATCGCGACCTTTCTCACATTATTGTGCAACTTGAGCCGATCTAAAGCGTCAACAACATTCACAATGTCCTGAAAGAGTCAAAACTCAGCTGACTCACAGGACGTTTGACATCAAGGGGTCACCATGGCGCTCCAATCTCCTTGCTTCAAACCCACAGCAGCTTTCTCCAACCTGGAGACGAGGGTGCTGTCTGTGTGATTGAGCCTTGCGAGCCCTGTCAGTGCTGTCACTTGACCATGTTTGCCAGGATGACTCAGAAACGACCATTCAGGATCAATCCAACGTCTTGCGCTTTCAGATTCCAAAACCCATCTTCGTTGCAGAGAATCTCTGATGTCTTCGACAAGATCTACAATCATATCGGTAAGAAACTCCACACATCAAGTTACGACGATCTGGAAAGGTGAGGTCGACAAATGAATCTGCACTGTTACCTGCAGCTTCAACTTCTCGTTTCCAATCCACTCTCTGCACAACAAGAGTCAAAGCGCCATCATTTACAGTCTCATCATCATTATGATCATGATCATGATCATGATCACCATCATCATCATTACCACCACCACCACCACGATCACCATCACCATCATCATCATCATCATCATCATCATCATCATCATCATCATCATCATCATCATCATCATCATCATCATCATCATCATCATCATCATCATCATCATCATCATCATCATCAGCAGCAGCAGCAGCAGCAGCAGCAGCAGCAGCAGCAGCAGCAGCAGCAGCAGCAGCAAATCTCCATCATGGTCATCATCATCTCCATATTCATCAAAATAACCTTGAGAGGGCATTCATGATCAAACTTGCTCCCTGTTTGGTCCACCTGTTCGCGGGCAGCAACATAGCAGCTTCAGCCATGTGCGTGCAGACCTTCAACAAACCATCACGAAGGAGTTTCCTTGTCATTTCATCCTCACCAATTGAACTTTCTGCGCAACTTCGTTGTTTCCAAGCCTGCTGCCAACCTGCATCTTTTCTAGCTGGAAGGAGTACGCAGTCCAGATAGAAGTGATTTCCTAGCCATGACATTACACCATCAACGAGTCTACAAAGTCTTTGAGCTTACCTGAATGCTGAATCTCTTGGGAGAGATTGCAAGAATCTGCGACCTTGACCAGTCATATATGGCTCCGTCATCAACTCCTGCAAAGCAGATCAGTGCTGGTTGGCATGCGACAACTCCAGACCGAAGCGATGATAGGCATTCACAATGTTCGCGAGATCTTGAGGAGAAGGAGCGTCTTTCTTCATGACCAGCTCGTTGCTTGCAAGTTGAAGGAGCTGTGCGCATTCAACGTCAGCCAACACAAGACCAGTGGTCTCCTACAAGAACTCACCTGAGAGTCGAACAGGTTCGCACAAGCGTATGCGTTGAGAAGCATGGACCAACTGAAAGTGTCCGCGTCTGCATGAAACTTCTCTTGCATCAGGCGCGAAGACGTCTGATACAGATCTGCAACGTCCTTCGATAGGCTGACATCCTTGTCTGCGTGCTGCAGTCTCGTGTTCCCGGGAAATATCTTATTTCGAGCGAATGCATTCATCACCATCGCGAGAGCTCTGGAAGAGAAGCCGTCTGGGTTGCCGTGAAGGCGAGAGAGCAGAGGACGTACAAAGTCGAGGAGCAAGGAGACTCGCTTCTTTCCCCTCCCCTGCCCAAGAGCATTGATGGCGAGTGCCGCTGACTTCGCATCTAGCGTCTCCACCTCCTTCAGCGCAATCATGCTGAACTTCTTCATGATGCTCTCGACGGCATCACTCTGACTTTCTGTCTTAGCTTGCCCCTGCAGGCGTTTGAGATGATTCATCGCAGTTGCAGCTTCTCTTCCGTTCACATCCACACTGTCGTAGAACTCCTGAAGCACTGCCAAAAGATCCTTGAGGTCATCATACTCCTTCAGTCTTGGAGGCATTCTGTCGTGCTCTTCCTGCTGCTCCTGCGGGCTGACTCGATCCCCCGTGGAGATCTTGCCACCAACAACCTGCTTGTTCCCCTCACTCATCACGTCCAACACAACCCGCCTTCTGCTCAGTATGCTCCCGAAACAAGCTCCTCTCTGCTGTGGGCAAGTCTTGGACAAGCTGAAACGAGGAGGAGTAAAGTGATGGCGAGGAGGAAGCCATGCAAGGGACGCTCCTTGCAGCAGCAGCAGTATGGCGCCCAGTCCCCTTCCTGCTATCCTCCCCGCCGCCATAGTCATCGGCCCCCGAAAAGTTGTTTGCGTCCGTTTCAAAACGTTGCAAGGGTGTGAGCGATGGCGATGGCTAGCACGTTGAGGATCCCTGTGATCCGCGCGATGAGCATGGGAAGGAGAGCAGGAGCAGGAGCAGGAGCAGGAGCAGGAGCAGGAGCAGGAGCAGGAGCAGGAGCAGGAGCAGGGAGAGCGTGGATGCACCGGATCTGCTACATGAGGCGATGGAGTGGAGCATGCAGCTCCTCTGAGGTCTTGAGGAGGGGTAGAGGGATGAGCACCGGATCACTGCCGTCAGGAGCTCAGCAGCACTTGTACGTGCACGAGAGCTCGAGGGTCAGCGACTCTGCTCGCATCGGCTCCTTCTGCTCGATCCTCGAGAATGTGATCGTAAGAGCTGCTCCTCCCCCCCCCCCCCGCTGCCTCTCACCGCGACCCGGCAGATTGAGGATGGTGTGGTTATTGGCAGCTCGTCTGTTATAGGACCGCATGTTGGTATTTCCTGCTTGCTGTGAATGAGACGTTCGCTCAACTATTTGACTCAGTGATTAAGAAGAACTCTACAGTTCACAGCAACGTGAACATCTCCAACTGCACTCTCGGAGAGGAAGTGGTGATCTGGCCTGGAGTTTGCATCGGCCAGGTTGCTTCTCACACGTTGAGAGGATGGTATGTTCTGAACCATCAAGTAGGATGGGTTTGGCTTCAACATTTCTCAATCAGGGTAATGCTGTACTCCGTTCCTTCTAACAACCTGACACCTTGCCAAGTGACCCGACCAAGAAGCCTCAGACGCTGAGGGTAGAAGTTCATGACCATGTTGAGATCGGCGCAAACTGTAAAGAGGATGTTGGCTGAGATGAGCTGAGCTCACAAGACGTGCTGCAGGCACAATAGACCGTGGAAGCTGGAGACAAACAGTCATTGGGTCCAACACCAAGTTAGACAATATGGTGTTCTTTCTTCTCAACAGAGAGCCAACGTGTGTGGAGAATTGATGAAGATCAGGTTCACATAGCTCACAATGTTCAGATTGGGAAAGGAGTCATGATCGCAGCACAAACAGGCATTGCTGGTAGTTGTTGTTCTCTCCGACAGCACAGAGTGAAGAGCTTTCCTGAAGGAAGCTGCGATATCGGCGACTATGTTCTTATAGGAGGACAAGTAGGGATCGCTCAACACCTCAAAGTTGGATCCAAAGCCAAGGTTGCGATGGTGAAGAGGTCGTGGACGGTAGTTGATGAATGATCTACAGATCGCTGCGAGGAGTGCTGTGATGGGAAATGTTGGAGATGGAGAGACTGTTGGAGGTTCGCCTGCCGTTCCGATCAGGTGAAGGAGGAAAAAGAGGAGGAGGAAGTGGAGGAGGATGACTGATAGTGTGGAAGGCAATGGCATAAGCAAACTATCTTCCTTGCAAGGGCGACCGCGAGACAACCGATGGATTCGAAGACAGATTGAGATTGAGAATACAAGTTGTAATCGGAACAGTTTGGTCTACTCGCTTCAATTCGGTCTCATGCTCATCCTTCCAGCACTCGCTCACAGCTGACCTTGATCAAAAATGTGCAGCGACGCAGCAGGTACGTTGGTCAAGTACATCTCCTTCCTCGTCTCTCAACTTGTCGCTCAGACTAGTGGCTATTGCTATTTCGTTGCCCATCGTGGTCTTTGTTCCAGCCTGACACTGACCTGCCGTCAGTCGTGCCCTCTGTCTCCGCTCTCTCAAACAACGTACAATGACGTTCATGGCCTCCAAGGGTCGGCTGATGCGACTGCACTTCGTACACTTCGGGCATGCCCTGGAGCTTGTCAGATCGAGTGAGAGACGATAGATCCCTTACCTCGTGGCTTCGTCGCACGTCCATGCTCTCACGCTCAGCTATGCGCTCTCCATGCAGATACTGAGCAACGAAGGTCAAGACAATGGTCAAGGAAGTGTTGAGAGGAGGAGGGAAGAGAAGGGGAGGAGCGAGGGAAACAAGAGAAGGAGCAAAGAGGAGGAAGGAAAGGAGGGAGCGCCGTAGAAGGAGAGGGAAGGAGAGAAAGGAAGAATCAACATACCTCGCCATGGCAGACGATGTCGAGGCCCATGAGTTCCTCCTCCACGGCCACCCGCAGCCCCCAGACCGCATCGATGAGCTTGAGAAGCACGAGGGACCCGATGCAGGACCAGCCGATGGCGAACAAGATCCCGTAGAGCTGCAGGTAGAGCTGCTCCGGCTTCCCATAGAACGCTCCCTTGTGCCCCGATCCCTTCCCTGTGATGTCCTCCGTAGCGAAAAGACCCGTCATGATGCCTCCAACCACCCCCCCTGGCCCATGGATCCCGAAGGCATCGAGCGCATCGTCGTACCCCAGGCGGTGTTTGAGCTGGCAGACGAAGTAGCAGACGGGACCCGCGAGAAGTCCGAAAAAGAAGGCTCCTGTGCAGTCAACATAGCCTGCTCCCGGCGTTATGGCCACTAGACCAGCAACGGCTCCACTGATGATGCCCAGCACACTGCCAGCAGGGCGTTATCCGAGGAAGAAGAGCAAGGAATGGGGAGAGGCACCTGGGGCGTTTGCGCATGATCCACTCTGTGCACATCCAGGCGAGGGCGGAGACGGCGGTCGAGATCTGAGTCACCGCCATTGCCATGGCCGTCTGCAGCTCACCAAGTCAGAAGCTCCGTCAGGTCGACAGCCGCTCCCTCACCATCTTGTGCGCAGAGAGATACGAGCCAGCGTTGAAACCGAACCATCCGACCCACAGCAGGGATGCTCCAAGGACTGACACGAGGATGTTGTGTGGGCTGAAGTTCTCCTTGCCGTAACCTGTCCTGCTCCCGATGACAAGGCTGGGGGGGAGAGAGGTCAGTGAACGAGCAGCAAGCTCCTCCTCCCATGCTCACCTTGCCATGAGGCCTGAGCAGCCTGCTGCAACGTGCACTACGTTGCCTCCGGCGAAATCGAGGATGCCTTCGTCCTTGAGAAACCCGTCTGTCATCCAGTGGGCGTGAGCGATGGGGCAGTAGACGAGCAAGTGCCATAGCGCCATGAAGAGAAGCATTGGTGAGAAGCGCATCCGGTCCGCAAACGCTCCGCAGATGAGAGCCGGGGTGATGATAGCGAACATCAGCTCGTAAACCATGAAGAGAGGCTCTGGGATGGTGGGCGCGAGGACATGGCCGGTGTCGTACGACATTCCCAGAAGCCAGAACCTGGTGTGCCCTCCAAATAAAGGAGAGCCTGTCGTGAAGGAAAGGCTGTAACCAAAGCACATCCAAAGGACTGTGATCAAGCATACGATACTGAAGCTCTGCATCACCGTCGACAGCACGTTGTTCACTCTGACCATACCTCCGTAAAACAGAGCAAGGCCTGGAATCGTCATCATCAGCACCAGGGCAGAAGACGTGAGGACCCAGGCGCTGTCCCCGGCACTAAGAGGGTTGGAAAGTTTGACCTGGATATCGCTGACATTCACTGCTAGTTGCCTCACATTGACGCCATCCAAGAGCTTCTCAACAGTTTGCAACCTGGTGCTCAAGGGGTCGGTGCTCTGCCTGAGACCCGGGGATCTCTCCTTTTCGAGTTGGGATATTCTTGCTTCCAACGATTTGATGACGTTGGCCTGATTCTCCACGATCTTCTTGAAGGAATCGTTGCTAGCGTCAATCTGACCTGAAAGGATCTCTCCGACCATTATCATAAACATAATCACATGATAGATAACTCTCGCCATGCTGTTCAAAGACTTTGTCTTTCTTCAAAGAATGATTTTCTCTAAATGTTTGCCCGATTGTGTGCAGCTGCTCCTACGTCAGTACGGGCGAGCATTCTGCCGGGGATGCTGATATCGAAGGAGTCTTATGATTAAGAAGTTGGCAAAGAGACGAGACAACAAACATCGCCATGCTCTGAGAAACTGTGCACGTCTGTACCCGATGAATGTACGTGAAACAATGGGAGAAGCGACGAGGTCGTCAGTGATACCCAAGAGAGCACGCACGGTGTGCCTTACAACGAGAGCATGGCATGTGCTTGTGGGTACGACAGAGAGGAACAAGAAGGGGACAGGAAGAGGTTAGAGAGGAGGAGGAGAGTCTGTTGCACAACAAGGGAAGAGGGAGAAGTCAGTTAGGATGCGACGAGGAGGGATGGGGAGAGGAGGAGAGGTTGATGGAGGGAGAGCTCAGTTCCTTGTGAGCATCGATCGGGAGAGTGAACTGAACGTTGGCGGAAGCAATTATTGTTTAAAACTCTTTGTACAAAATTGAACTCTGGCATTGAGTACAATTGACATGATTTATTGGTACAGAATATGAACTAAATTCAAAAAGTTCTGTAAAACATACTTTGGGTCCTATATGGATACTTAGGAAGCCCTATGCTCCATCAATATTTTTTTTAGAGCCGCAAGGTCGTGGCCCTTATGTGTACTGAGTTTCGACTCAAAAACAATTTTTATGATTAAACCCATACAAACTAAAACATAATTAAAACTTAAAACTACTTATGCAATGCGCCAACCTATTTGGATTTCCGCCTCCTATAAGATTGGGGATGAGCGGGCCACACAAGGCGCCAGATAGCGACCAATGAAAATCCGGCAATACCTGAAAAAAACTCAGTGCCAGGCCACCGGGAATCCACCTTGGACCGGGCCCCGGTGATACCAGCATCTAGTTATGTTTACTCAAAGTTAAGTTAAAAATCAGTAACTAGCCCGGGCCTGTTACTTCGGCAGTCCGTCCGGTCGCAGTGCCGCCGGGGCCCGCCGGAACTCAAAACCTACAATAGGCTATGAGCCTCTTTGGCGGAGCGAGGGAGGGCGGCACATGGCAAGGCCCCCCCCCCTTCCCCTCCCTTCAACTCCCTTCAGGTCGAGATGTCCTGCCTGGCGTCTCCTGGAGCCTTGCTGTCTCGTTCGAGAGACATAGGACAGACGTGGTTCTTCTCCTTGTTGTCCTCCTTGCTTCCTCCACTGCCCCTTGCCCCTCTCACGTCTCCCTTACAAAGTCTCCCCATCAACATGTCTGTGTTGATTGACGACGCCGCCTCCTTGGCCTTCGTCCTGATGGCAACAGTCTTGGTATCCATGTTGATCTATCTCCTACTCCTGGATCAGGATAAGCCGCCACTTCGCGACCGACTTCTGGCTGTGCTCGTCTCGTGCTACTTGCTCGACACTAACGGATGTCACAGGCCATCAAAGCTTTGGATAGAGACAAGTACGTGAGGGGAGGCGCGTTGTCATCCAGAATCCATGATGCTCAGCATGCACGAAAAGTTCAGTGAACCGCAACAACATCTGTTTACTCTTGAACATAACAACATTCTAATGGTACAGTTCCCGTAGTAGGATCAGACAACGATAACGGACGGCTCTTGCTCTTCTATCTCAGGTTGCAGAAGGCTCAACTATGATCAGTGCGTCAAGAAAGACAATGTGCGAACAAGCGAGCAAGAAACCGCATGTCTCATTGGACTTGGGATTTCTTCATGAACATCTTGGTTGTCCATCGGAACAAACACAGGGCTTGGCTAGAGCAACACGTGAGAAAATACGCGAGGATGGTGAAGAGACAAACTTCATCGGTTGTGGGCAATGCTCTGGACTGCAACAGCAGCTGCATACTCCTCAGTGTTTTGTTCTGCTGCTCGACAAGCGATCGAAGTTCTGCCACCTGACCAGGTTCTGTTGAGGTCTCGTTCGCAGAGAGAAGAACGGAGGGAGCGAAGGCGAGAGGGAGAGAGGAAGCAAGCAAGCTCTCTGGTCAGACCTCGTTGTCCATGTTGGTGCTTCTCTGCTCTATCGATCGAACCTTCGCGTAGAAAGTGTCGTCCAACTGACCGAAAAGTCTCAGACGTCACGTCACAGTCTGCAATGCAGGCATGCTCGAGAAATCAGCCACCTGCTTCCTGCTCTGCTCGAGCTGGCTTCCTAGCCTGCGGGCATGTTAGATGACGTTTGTCTTCGAGTCCATCAATCTCCGCATCCTCTGTCTTCACCTCAAAGTCATGCTGTAGAGAATGTTTGCCTGAGCTTCTATCTGACTCTCTTTGGAGATGAACTTCTTCGATCTTGAGGAGAGACAGAGTCAGCAGCAGGAGAGAAATGAAAGCAACATGCTTCGTCCGTCGGTAGTCGTGCAGCCTCTCCACCAGACGTGAAAAACTCTCTCTCCTGTATCGATGAGGATTTGCCTGGGCGCTTCCATGGGTTGTCAGGCGGTACAACGGGGTCTAGAGCCTCTCACCTGTAACAAGCCCCCTTCTTCTTGGCTCGGACGTTGATCACTCCCGGAAGATTCTTCGAGGAGGTTCAGTTTGTACAGGAACGTGGAGGAACAGAGCAAGGAGGGCGAGAAGGGCAAGGAATTGAGAGAGAGTTCAGCACCAGGATCTGACTCAAAGTCGATTCTGGCGAGAAATCAGCCTGTGCAGGAGGTGAGCTCAGGAGAAGGAGCGAAAGAAGACGATAGACTGTTGGGGAGCAGAGCAGGTCGGAGGAAGTCAAGTGAAGCGCTAGAAGAGTGAGTCCAAAGAATACCATCTTGTAGTCATCAGACGGGATGACAATGAAAGTGCTCGTCTTGTTGGCGACTCCTGTGGCCTTCAAAACTCTCCCTCCGAACCTTCAACAACAGCATGTCATCGACTACGTCGCAATCTACTTCATCTCCACCTCTGCGCGAGTTGGGATGGCAGAGTTCTGTTCTCCTGCAGAAGGAACGCGTCAAGGTGGGTCTATACTTTGCCCTCCCTCCCGCCGTTACATCGAGCTCGACGATGAGTCCTGACATGTTCCATAGAATTGGCCTGCCTGCCGTCAAGGCGGAAAGAGAAGGAGCGAGCAGACCCGTTGCCAAAGTGAGTGTAATACCTCCACCATGCCTGGGAGGAAGTGAACACAATGAAGTAAGGAAGACAGTCAGTCAAAGACATGGGGAGATGTAAGACGCGGTGAAGTGGTTGGATGCAGGGGCAAGTAGAAGGGTAAGAGCAGTGTTGAGAAAAGGAGACGCAAAGGAGGGATGTTGAGTAGATGTAGGACGACAAATCCGATTATCAAGACCTGATGGAAGAACACCCAACAACCTCACCTGGATCAATCTCGTAGATGCGATCTTTTTCTGCAGGAATGATTTTCTTGACTGTTGGCCGTATGAGACTCTTTGCCACGTGAGACGAGACACTTTTAGAGCTGACCTGAACGACGGCTATGAATCGTTCCTCCACTTTTGTGGGCGTTGTCCTGACTCCGACAGTCATGTTCGAGCTGACATGACAAACTGACTTTCACCATTGGAGGAAGACGCTGGTGAAGAAGTTTGCGATAAGCATTCCTCCGAATGCCAGGAGAACGCAAGAGATCCGACCGATGATGGTCAGAGGAAACAGGTCCCCTGCTCGATGACGCATTTCAACACCTCTCACATCTCCTTCCCATCTTGCGATGAGCTCCTTTCATCATCACCGTATCCCACGGTAGTCGCCGTCACGATGGAGAGCCAGACACAATTCTCAAAGTGGAGGAGGATGGGCTGCGATGGGGCTTCACCGATGCGAACTGACGAAGAAAATTCCATAAGCTCGAGTCCGGTGGTGCCGCGAGCATTGAAGGAATACCAAAGTATGCACCGACAGCGAGGAGGAACGATGTGCAGACGAACAGGACGAGGAAGGGCGACCTAATGGAAGTTAGATGGGAGCAAGAAGAAAGCAGAGGAATCGATCAGCTACTTCCTTGAGAAGTTGCGAGAGAGTGAAAGGAGGAGGATGAGGACGTAGAGGACGAGAGGGTAGGGGGCACGAGGAGGAGGAGGAGAAGGAGAAGGAGGAGGAGGAGGAGGAGGAGGAGAAGGAGGAGGAGGAGGAGGAGGAGGAGGAGAAGAAGGAGGAGGAGGAGGAGGAGGAGGAGGAGAAGGAGGAGGAGAAGGAGGAGGAGGAGGAGGAGGAGGAGTAGGGGGAGGAGGAGGCTTGTCAGGAAAGGAAGGGTCGAGGGGATGTAAAGGAGAGATACCGATGAGTGAAAATTCTGAACCAGAAGAGCTGGGAAGTCCAAGTTGAGCTCAGCAAGGAGAGCTGCTGTTATCCACCTGAGACTTGATGTCGACGCCTGCCAACCGAGCCGCGAGCAGAGACTGCCAGAGACATTAGGAAGAGGAAGGGGCGAGGAGGGAGAAGGGAGGAGGGAGGATGGAAGAAAGAGGAAGGAGGACAGACGAGGCTGGAGGGAAGAAAGAGGAGGGGAAGAGGAGAGGACGTGGAGAGGAAAGGAAGTCGTTTGAGAGAAGGAGCTCTCACGTTTAGGTCATGGACGCAGACGATTTCACGGAGGGTTCTTGTGAGGAGGAACAGCCGGAACCTCCGCATGCCACGTCAGCACTCGAATGCAACGATCCCTCCCTGCCCTCCCTGCCCCCCGCTCCGTCCAAACTCACATGGAGAGAAGAGCGCCAATGGAGTCGGAGGAGTAGATGACCTTCTCCTACAGCATGTGAGGAGGAGACGGAAACGAGAAGAGACTGACTCCGAGCTGACTGTGACTCTCCCACTCAACATCGAGGAAGGGAGGACAGTGAAGCATTGCGATGAAGCACTCGAAGAAGCACTAGAGAAAGTCAAAGAGCTCGTAGGATGGAGGAGAAATGGGCAGGGGGAGAGGGGAAAGAGTGAGGAGGGAGGAGAGTAGCAAGGGACTCACGCGAGTATAATCTTTCCTGCTAGCGATCGGTTCGCCTGGCAGTCTCCGTCGTGAGAACTCCATACTGAGGGAGACAAGTGAGACGAAGCAGGAGAAAGAGCAAACAACCGCAAGATCCTGTCATAATGATACTTGACGATCAAGATCACCAGGAAGATTGAGAACAGCAGAACCAACCCCTGCAGGGCTAAGTGTCACATTCATAAAAGCCCTTGCTCGCAACATCGAACGCAGGGTTGTCACCTTCAAGGTTGTGGATGTCGTACAGAATCCGTGCTTGTAGTAGACCTCGTTCTCTGGATCAAAGGTAAGGGAGGCTGCTGCAGGCCTGAACCATCGCACTACCTATCACTGCAAGCACAGATCCACACAGCGCAACTATGCTCATGAGGTATGGCGCCATCCCTCCCTTTGCCTGAGCACGTCGATCGGTACCTGACGGATGCTCCTCCTCCTCCTCCTTCTGCTCACCTTCAGCAGGTTCACCTTATGGCTCAAGACTAAATCCTTGAGGGCCTGACGAGCAAGAACGATTAGTCTTGGAGAGAGCCGAGGAAGAAGATCGACAGTGTGCTCTTTGATCAGCTCCGTCCTCTTCCTGTTCTCCTCCATGTCGAGCATATCCGTGGCTATCGATCTGAGCTGCTGTCGGTTGAAGCTGGAGGATTCGCAGGTAACATGCTGACCTGCGTGCGGTGTTCTTGTCTCTCCTTTTTCTCTCGTTCTCGACAAGAAAGTTTGAGAAGCCGCTGGGTATAATGCAAGAAAGCTCACCAGCAAGGTGATTCTGCAGGGACAACACAAGTAGAGCCTGTCCACAGATCAAAATGTGCTCTGGTGTTGACGACTGTGGAATATTCCGTCATTGCTCACATGTTTGAATCTGGGTCCTCTGTGGAGATCGTGGCCCGCCATGCGCTCGTTTTCGTGAATTCTTGCTTGCACCTGGAGCAAACAAAATCCAAGAGCTGTTCGGTAGACCATCATGCATTCGAACTGGTAAGATCACAACAAGTCACTGACCTTGATCTTCCGGAAGATATGCGCGTTTTGCTCTTCTGCACCCCAAGAATGAATGTTGGCAACACAAGAACATTTGGAAGTCCTGACCCGCTGTGATGAGAAGTTGCTGGATAAGACCGAACGATCATCAGTACATGGGCGGACGAACAACGCATGTTATCTCACCGAGACTACGGAGCCGCTCCGAGAAAATATTGACATCTGCACAAAAAAAAAGCAACCCATTATCGTAATCATTAACATTAGCATTATCATCGTCATGATCATCTACATCTCCATCATCATCATCATCATCATCATCATCATCATCATCAACTCCTTCTCCATCATCAACTCCATCATCATCTGCATCATCGTCGCTCATCAGTGATGCTCGCATCTGTGCATCTCAGTTGCGCATTTGTCAACCTAGAGAAAACGAAACGGTCCGTAACGGAAATGAAATGCAGTTCGGCGACCAAGGACGAGGAAGAGGTTGAAGGCAGGAGAGGAGATGAGGAGCAAACATGAAAGGTGGAAGAGAGGACAGAGAGAAGAGAGAGGAGAGGAGAGGAGGGAGGAGGGAGGAGGGAGGAGGGAGGAGGGAGGAGGAGAGACGGAGGAGGAGAGGGACAAGGATAGAGCGAGGTAGGAAAGAAGGAAGTGCAGGAAGGAGAAAGAGGAGAGAGCGGAACAGGAGCAGGAGGGATGCTTGAGGATAGAGCAATGAACAGAAGTAGGTGGAAAGGAGAGAAGACAAGAGAAGGAGGAGGCAAGGTGGAGGTCACAGCGATTTTGGGAAGCGTGCGTGTTTGGAAGGGTTGAGATCAAGGCAGGAAGATGTTGGAGATGACAGAGATCGGTTTGATGAGATGAATCTGGTTCCATGCAAGACGTCAGATAGTTTCAGTCGCAGGAGAGGAGGTGGAGGTGGACGCTAGATGTTGGGATACCGAGGGATAGAGGGGAAGTACGGGGAGGGGTGGAGGAGGGGCCAGAACTCAGAAAAGGATCGATCCTGGTGGCGTTGATGAGGAAGAAAGTTGAGTAGGATGACTCCTGCGATTCGATTGAAAGCAAGCAGAGATCGCTTCCCTCCCCTCACGTTGTTGGTTGACATCAAATCTACAGGCATGTGAAGGATGGGGTATGTGGAGGGATTATAGAGATTGATATACAAGAACATCATGATTCCCCTCGGAAGACTTGCTTTTCTCTTCGCCATCTTGTTTTCGACGGTGGGAAGAACAACGGAGTCGGGCATACAGCCTATGTATCTTCGCGGGGGTGGCTTGTTCGGAAAGCGAGTAGGCGGGCGATACGGAGGCACGGTGTTGCCTTCGGCACAGATCGAAGAGATGAAGGCAAGCGAACAAGCTCAGACTGCCGCTGAACCGGCAGGAAAGGCGGAGGAGGACAAGAGGGGCCTGACAGCGAACGATGCGGTAGCGGAGCACGAGAGATCTGAAGGAGATCAGCAGGGAAGCGAGAAGAAGGTAGCAAACGAATCCCCATCGGAATCGTCTGCCAGCATCCGCTCCGTCGGGGATGCAAAGAACACCAGCGACGTTTCTCCGCAGAAGGTGAATGTGGTTGAGAAGGAGGCGGGGGCGAGGAGGAGGTAGAAGAGGAGGAGGAGGGGGAGGAGGTGGTGGTGGTGGTGGTCGAGGAGGAGGAGGAGTGAGAAAGTGGGGCAGGAATTCAACATGTCCTCGTCGAATCTTTTCGGCAGTGATCTCCATGAGAATTTCAAGTACATCTACATTGTATCCGACAGGTCAAAATCTCCTTGCCCAGCTAGCCAGTGACCTTGATTCCTGCAGCACCGGGTTTACAGCTTCACACGCACTCACCAGCGTCATGGTGGGCTGGTCGGCATTCCAGTCGCTCTTGTAACAAGTTGGTCCTCTAGGCTCAGTTCGACTCGCTCGCTGTCGACTGGAACGGGCAAGACAACAAGGCGAAGGAGAAGAGCGGGGGAGTGCCGGTCAGCCCTGCCGTCTCCTTCCCCTTGCACTTCCTGAGACTCTCAGCAGGAGGTCAGGACGCAAATGTTCAGCAACGTCAAGGACCTCGGAAGGCTCGACAGGATCGTTGCGCTGGCAGCGAAGATGGTAAGGGAGGAGGGGGAGAGAGGAGGAGGGAGATGGGACAAGGAGGATTACAGCACGAGAAGTAGAAGCAGAGAAGAAAGTTCAAGTTAACGATTTGAGTAGAGTGCATTCATTGTCTTCACGCTGGTAGACCCAGCACTTCATACCAGGCTCTTGAACCAGTGCCGCTTCTTCAAGGTCCTCCTCCTCCTCCCTCGACCTCCTCCTCCTCCTCCTCCTCCTCCTCCTCCTCCTCCTCCTCCTCCTCCTCCTCCTCCTCCTCCTCCATTGCGGCTTTTGTTGAACCTCAAATCCTGTAGGTCCCTCATCAAGACTTGCTCGGACCTCTTGTGCGCCACCTCTCTTCCTTCCTCGAGAAGGAGCCAACAGGTGAGGGCTACAGCAAGAAGATGGAGGAGGAGGAGGAGGAGGAGGAGGAGGAGGAGGAGGAGGAGGAGGAGGAGGAGAAATCTTATCTTCATAATCAGGGCTGCCAAGAGGGTCTGTTGGGACCAAGAGGAAGCCGCTCAGCGACAAGTACTTCAAGGTAGCGACCTCTAGCAGTCTTGTATGCTGATGGGGTACAACAGCGAGTAGAGGCTGTGGAGTTCACGATCAAGCAGGACGACGGCGCACAGGTGAGAAGCAGCAGCAGCAGGAGGAGGAGGAGGAAAGATGGAGCTCGGGAGGGGAGAAAGCTGAAGGTCAAGGCAGTGCCGAAACCTCCAAAAGGCGGACGTGATTCTTCTCGGAGTGTCGCGCAGGCAAGAAGTAGCTAACGTTCTTCCTCCTCGCTGACTTTCTTTCCCCTTGTGCAGCTCAAAGACTCCTCTGTCTATGTACCTCGCCCAGCAGTTCGGATACAAGGTGAGACCATCCGTTTCCTCGACCTCGCGCTCTGCATGCTAAGCGCCCGCCTCTTCTCCTTACATCGCCTCCTCGAATTCCTGCCATCCTATCTCACTCTCGTTTTCTTCCCTACTCCTGCTCTCCGTCCCTCCCTCTCTCCCTCTCTTCCTCCCTCCCTCCCCTTTCATTCACGCAGGTCGCCAACGTGCCTCTGGTTCTCAACATTCAGCCGCCCTCTGAGATCTTCGAGGTCTAGAGCTTCCCTGAGCTCTCAGCTGTCACAACCTGTCCAGGTGGACCCCAGGAGAGTCTTCGGGCTGATCATCCAGCCGCAGTACCTGAGGCGGATCCGTACTCGACGGCTGGCAGGGACAGGGGTGGACACAGAGACCATCGGCAAGAGCATGGGGAGCTTCGACTACAGGTGGGGAGCCAGCTGGGGACTGACTCTGAGCTGACTCGATCCTCTGCCAGCAACATCAAGTACATCCAGGAGGAGCTCAAGTGGGCTCGTGACTTGTATGCTGCTCACCCCGAGTGGTCCGTGGTGGACGTGACAGGACGAGCGGTGGAGGAGAACGCAGCGATCATTGCCGAGCTGATGCCGGGGAAGCCGACGCCAGTAGAAGCTGCTCTGCATGCGCTGGACTGCAACTTCTTCATCCTGGAGCCGAGCAAGAAGTCGGTTGAGTTTCCAATCGTGTTTGCGAGCGACGGCTTCCTGCAAGCGACCGGCTACTCGAGGGAGGAGATCATTGGCAAGAGCGTCTTCATGCTGCACGGGCCCAACACCGAGCGAGAGGTCATCACCAAGGTGCGGGAGCATCTGCGGGAAGGGAAGGAGGGACACTTTGAAATCCTCAACTATCGCAAGGACGGCTCGACCTTCAACAAGGACGTTCACCTGAGCCCCGTCCGCAACTTCGAAGGGGAAGTAGCCTTCATCTTCTGCACACAGGTAGAGCTAGAGCCCCTCGCTCCTGGCTTCAACCCCACCAGGAAGCCCGACGGGGCGGCGGCTCAGCCCACGGAGGAGGACGGAGACTTCAGGAGGGACCGGGTGGACAAGGAGAAGACGTCGGAGATCCTGAGGAGCGTACACCACCGGGGCTGGATCTCAGTGAGTATCTCCGATGCCTCCGTCCCCGGCATGCCCATCGTCTTCGCCTCCGAGGGCTTCTTCAAGATGACCGGATACGAGCCGGCGGAAATCCTGGGGCACTCGCTGGAGAAGCTCTACGGGGCCGACTCTGACCCAACCACCGTCGCCATGATCCGAGAGGCGATGGAGACCCACCAGGCCGTCAGCACGTGCATCCTCAACTACCGCAAGGACGGGAGGAGCTTCTGGAACCACCTCAGCCTCCAGCCAGTTAGCGACTCGTCGGGCTCCCTCAGATACTACGTGGCTACCCAGGTGCTTCAAAATTCTCGCTATCATCCTCCCTTCCCGTTCTTGACCCTGTCCGGCAGTACACGGGAACGAGCGGGGTCGGCAATCTTGTTCGCGACTGCGGAGCAACATTTCCCTCAGGGCTGCAGACACACGCGTCCATCACTCCCTTCCTCCCGACCTGAGCTGCTGCAAAGGAGACCATCGAGACCAAACTCCCTCCCCTCCTCTAGTTCCTGCGCGTGTCTTTTGTTTCTACCGGCATTACACGACTCGACTGCTACTCTCCTGCGCTCTTCTTCGGAAAGAACTTGGAAATGTCCAGCTGCTTTCCAGGTCACGGGAGCAGGAGACCGCACGCACTGTCACCTGCGAGCTCTTCTTCCCCGGCGTCGAGGCCTTGGACTTCTTCGTAGGCGGCTCCTCCGGGGGAATGGAGAGCGCGTAATCCTCGCAGAGCAGCTCCTGCGACTCCAGCGAGTCGAAGGCCTCTCGCTGTCGTCCATGTGAGGGGAGGAGGAGGAGAAATAGGTAGACATGGGGAAGGGGAGGAGGAGAAGCGCGAAGGTGGGAGAGGGGAGAGGAGGACGAGGAGGAGGAGAGCATTGCAGCTCACCCGGAGAAAGCCGAAGAGCTCAATCGACAATAGCCAGAGGGGATGCCGCTCGTGCTGCGGTCCGACACGCCGAATCCCTGAGGGAAGGAGGCGAGATGAAAGGATGAGACAAACGAGAAGAATGAGAAGAAGAGACGAAGTCAGTTACGAGAGGCAGACACAGATAGTCAGATCGATAGAGCGAGGAAGAGCAGCAGGCGACAGATCAAGGAGGAGGATGAGAATGAGAGGAAGTGACGAAGCACAGGCTATGTAATGCATGAGGACGGGGGGGATATGAAGGATGGAGAGGGAAGGATCGTATCGTACGTATGCTGGAGGTAAACGCTGGGAAATTCTGCACAGAGCAAAGGCAGTCAGGATGAGAAGGGAAGAGGGAAGAACAATCTCACCCCTAGCTCTGTGTCAATCTTGAAATGATGGAGGGTTTGCCGATTCCCGTCCAGGAGGTGGGAACTTTGCTGGTCAAGCAGCTCCCATTCCCCCATCACCTTCTGCTCAATCACCCAATCCTTCAAGTACGTTCCGCAGTCCCTGCGGCCCCAGGCTTATAAGGAGGGTCTCACGAGGCAGGTTCGAGGAGGAGGAGGAGGAGGAGGAGGAGGAGGAGGAGGAGGAGGAGGATGTAAGTCCAAGGGGAGACAGACCTCGAGCCGTTTCGGAGGGAGTAGCTCTCAACCCTCATCTCGAGTCCTCGTTTGAGAGAAAACTCGAAGAAGACATTGTCGTTATTATCCTCACTACCATCATCGTCAGCCCTTCTTTTCATCATCCCACACTCTTACTCCGGCACGGCAACACACCCGTCGCCGCTCTTCTTGCCCGCTAGCATGTCCTCTGGCCGTCTGAAAGCAGCATCGTAGCCAGAGCTAGTCACCTCGATCACTCCGAACTTGACCGCCTTCTTGCCGAGAAAGTTGAAGATGCCTCGCTCCTCCCCTGGCCCTCCATCGAAGTGGCAGAGCGAGTCAGCCTTGGGGAGTTTCTCGAGAATGTGCGGGAGGTCACTGAAAGGATCGTTCGAGAGTTCGTCGTTACAGGAGGCATCGAGAAGAGATGCTGGCACAGCTGCGTGCTCCTCTTCCTCCACCTCCTCCACTTTATCCTCTCCCTTGTGCTCCGCGATATCCAGTGGGTCTTTATGCTTCTTTGATTTTCCGCGTTGGACTGTTGCGACGGTGTCTGGGTCTATCGGTTTGTGCGGGGTCTTGACATCGAGAGAAGAATCGGACAAAAGCTTGCATGCCCCTTCCTCCTTCTGCCTCGGTAGGAACAAGAGCTTTCCCGTGTAGTTGTTCAGGCTAATGGAAATATTGCCGTCTTGACACTGAAAACGCCCCGATCAGTCTTGTCATCTAGCGACATGTCAAGCAACCTGAATCTGTGCGTTCTCGTACGTGGAAAGCTGTAGTTTGACTCCACCGACGAGCAGGTCAGGCATTGCGAACGAGTGCTTGTCGCAGATGAAAGGCTCATCGTGGTCACTAGACGCTGAATCACTAACATACATCATCTGCGAGTAGCCCGACATGACAGATAAAACCTTGTAGAAGCAATTCAGAGGTCAGCCTCGACTCAAGAGAAGGAAAGTTTGAGTGAAGCGAAGGAAAAATGAAGTAGAATTATCTGTTGATGTATCTTTTCTCTCTCCTCTCTAGATTCCCTCAAGTCTCTGCTTCCTACCAGTCTCGCTTCTGCTGGAGCTCCCATTCTCATCTCATCTCATCTCTTCTCTTCTCTTCTCTTCTCATCTCTTCTCATCTCATCTCATCTCAACTCATCTCATCTCATCTCATCTCAACTCATCTCAACTCATCTCAACTCTTCTCTTCTCATCTCAACTCATCTCATCTCATCTCATGTCATGTCATCTCATCTCATCTCATCTCATGTCATGTCATCTCTTCTCATCTCATCTCTTCTCATCTCATCTCTTCTCATCTCCTCTCTTCTCATCTCATCTCATCTCATCTCATCTCATCTCAATCATCTCATCTCTTCTCTTCTCTTCTCATCTCATCTCATCTCAACTCATCTCATGTCATCTCTTCTCATCTCATCTCTTCTCATCTCATCTCTTCTCATCTCATCTCATCCTTCAGCACCATTCCTACAAATGGTATTGCCGGGTTGCGAAAGCTCCCGCCATGCGAGTGGCTCGGAAGTGAGTGGTCAGAGAGGGGATGTGGGAATTTTGCTAGTATCCGATAGGCTTTGAATGTCTACCGTACCGCCGGCCCGGCGGTGACTGAGCCTCGGAGCGGCCGGGCCCGATTCCGAAGACCGCAAGTGGAGATTCAGTGACGGTGATCGGACGCGTATAGAAATTACTTGCAGTCACTCAGGATGTTTTGTTGATGAAATCAGGCAAAGAAAGCCTGAAGGACAAACAGACCTCACTGCATCGCCTGTCAGGCTGTGACGTCAGAGCAATTCTTGTCAGAGCAGGAGGACTTGAACTGACCCGCCAGGCTCTCAATGTCTCGAAGCACTCCTGCTTCAGCTCTGTCCGCAAGGTCACTCATGTGTCGCTCGACCGACTCTCCTGAAGCGTCACTTACCTTTCCTGCTGCTCTCAAGCGCGAAGAGGCGCATCTCCGTCTCTGACAGCTGCTGCTTCTTCACCTCCAGCTCGGCTCGAAGTCTTTCGCACTCTGCCCTGTAACTCTGCATTTCCTTTATCGCCTGCTCTTCCCGTCTCCTCGTCCAACTTTCCTCCCTCCTGCTCCTCGTTTCCATCTGCATTACCAGGTCCAAGTTACGTTGGCATTCCTGGAGACACGATGAGTCTGAGCGCGCCGAGTCCTTGGCTTACCTCCGCGTTTCGGATGGATACGAGCAGCAGTTCACCGAACGACTCCTTCATCTCGCTGTTCTCCTCCATTTGACGCAGCCTCGCACGCAGCTCCTGCTCGTCTCTTCGATTCACTTCAGGGAGTGACCTGCACAGGTCTCAAGGAGGCAGGGCAACAGGTCGTTCGTTCCTCATCTCACATGCCCAGCACTCCTAACGCTAGACATGAAATCAGTTCTGAAGCTTGCTCCCTCCCTCACAACAGCCTCACCTCCCTCGCTCTTCCTTGACCTCTACCGCTGACAGCATTTTCAATCACTAAACTCTTCTGAGTTTTCCCTCTCCCTTCCACTTAGGTTCTAAAAGCTGCTTCCCCTTCCTTCCCGCCAGTCCATCATGTAGCAGCACGTTCCTACCTAGCGAGGGCGTTGGACCTTCTCTCTCTCAGCAGCGAGCTCGAGAGGCTTGCGACCCTCTTGGCGTACTGCTCTTCCAGTTGTTCAACTTGAGCTTTCATGCTGAACGCCTCCTGGCTGTTGAGGAGCGCAAACTTCCACTCACACGCTTCCTCCACGTTTTCTGCCATCAGAGCAACGTCCTCCTCTACTTGCTTGCCCCCGTTGGCGTCCAGTCTCAGGATGCGGAATCGATTCTTCTTCTTGGTGCTAAAGAGCACCTGGCATTTGCTGAGGTCCCACACGCTCCTGTTGCCCCTCATGCTTGCTCGCTCGGGCTGAATGTGGACAGCATTGTTTTCAAGGAGGCAGTGAACCACTTCCGAGTATGACGACCATCCTCTGCCATTCTTCCTTCTCAAGCGCCCCTCCAGCCTGCTCCGCCTCGGCAGAATGGTGCGGGAAGCAAGCAGCATGTCATCCGTTCTCTCGTTCTCATGATCCTCCTGCTCCTCCCTCATCGAGCTCGACAAGTCAGCCATAGCGAGGGGAGGACTATCCAACGCACTGTCATGCTCCTCCTCCACTCCCACACCACTGTTGTCCTCCCCGCTCCACCTCCCCCTCTCCTTCCCCTCGTTCTTCCCTTCAGTCCTCTCCTCCTTCTGCATCTCCTTCCTCTCCCTCCACTTCTCCTTATCTTCCTTCACATCCTCGTCCTCCTCTTGTGCTTCTCTCGCAACAGCATCTGCCATCAAGTACCATGTAACAGTAGCGACCGTAGCGACTGAGCTATAAACGATGGACAGCAAACAATTCAAGTCTTTTTTCCTCCTATGTAAATTGCTGCCCTCAAGTAAGGGTGAAGGAGGAATGCTGGAGCGAGGAGGGAGAGGGGCAGGAGGAGGAGGAGGAGGAAGAAGAGGAGGAGGAAGAGAGTATGCTTCACAAGATAATTAGTTCAAGAGACCGCTAGTAGACTTGGAGTTCTTGACCTCGGAGTTCTTTGTTCCATCTCCATCTCCTCCTGTCGCAATGAACGGCTGGTGTACAGCAATGAAACGAAATCTCTGTGTAGCAGGGGGAGGAAGGAGACGCTACACCTCTCTGGTTCCCTCTTTCTACCTTGTTTCTGCTCAGAGAGCCGACACGATGACCCCGCACGTGCCTGTCCCATCAACCATCGAGCAGGTGGACAGGCACAAGCCCGTGGCTTTCATCCTGCATGGCATCCTCGGGAATGGAAGGAACTGGCTTCCCTTCGCTCGTGCCATGGCGCATCGCCTCCCTGACTGGCAGTTCCTCCTGCTCGACCTCCGAGGACATGGTGAGTCGCCAGCGCCGACACAGACCCGCCATACCTTAAGATGCTGCGCACGTGACGTGGAGCATCTCGGGGAGAGGCTGGGGCGAGCAGCGGACGTGGTGATAGGGCACAGCTTCGGGGGCAAAGTGGCCATGGACTTGCTGGCCTGCGCTAGCCATCCTCCCAAGACCACGTGGGTGCTTGACAGCTGGATGCGGAGGATGCCCGTGGAGCGCTTGCTGATGCAGGAGGGAAAAGGGAGACCGGAAGAGGTCAACAGCATCACGAACAACATGATCCCAGGATCTAGCGTGGAGGTCATGTCTATCATCGAAGACTTCCAGACGCCGATAGCTGAGAGGAAGATCGTCGCTGACAAGCTCTCTTCCCTCGGCTACTCCAAGGTAGAGATGCTTCGTCCACGCCTCGTGTTGATCGCATGAGCAGGCGACTTGTGCCTGGATGTTGTCGAATCTCAAGCAGGAGAAGGACAGCAAGGTTGCAAGACTGCCCTCCTCTTCCCCTTCCTCCCCATCTCCTGCCCTCCTACCCCCCGCCAACCCCTTCTCCTTCGCCTCCCATTCCTCTACGTTCTGCCTTCTATTCTTCCACCCTGCACTATCTTCATCCTTCCTCCTGCTTTTCGTCTTTTCGTCAGGTGATGCGCGTAGCAGGGGAACAAGGGATACGTCTGGCGCTTCGACCTGCGAGTGGCCAAGGAGCTGATCTTGGACGCGGCATCCGTCGACTCGATGCCTCTACTGCAGGTAAATCGAGCAGGAAGAGGAGAAGGGAGGGATGTTCCTGCTGGTGTTGGAGCGTGACTAGACCTTTAGGAACCGAGGGGGCATGTCGGCATCATCCGAGCAGGACACGGGCTGCGCTGGACGGCAGAAGCTGTGAAGGATCTCGAGGCGTGCGCGGAGAGGACGAGCCTGGTCAGAAGCTTCCTGCTACCCAACACAGGTCACTGGATCCACGTGGACGCGCCGGAGGAGGTGATGAACATTCTGACTCCCTCCATGGAGAGAGTGCACTCATAAAGCATGCTCCAACGTTTCAATCCGAATCTCCGTCGCTCAGATTCTCTTGCCCGTCCCCTGCATGCCGCCGCTCGTCCTCGTCCCCGTTGCCCTTCTCCCCTGCCTCCACGTCCAGCTCCACCTCTGCATTCCCGCGTTACCCCTCCTTCTCCTTCCCACCCCCTCCTCCTCCTCCTCTTCCTCTGTCACCTTGTCCTGGCGCGATCTCCCAGTGTACTCCATCCCCCACAGGCCCGCTGCCGTACACCGGCAGAGCCCACAACCTTGCAAGTCAACAGTCAACTTCCTTGCCCTTTCTCCTGTAAACTTTCACAGCTCACTGGTGCGGCTTGCTCTTGCTACGATACTCTTCTCTCCCTCCCTCCCTCTCTGCCTCTTCCCCCTCCCCTCCTTCTTCTTATTCTCCTTCCATCCCTTCCTCCTCCCTCCTCCTCCGTCCTCCTCTTGGTTCGATCCTTTGTCTTCCTCCCTCAATCACCAGGGGTTGCGACCAAAGACGGACTCAAAGTTCTTCCTCCATCCGACATCATATCGTCTGTCGTCGGCTTCGATAGTCGTCTGCGAGCAATTAAGAGTGCAGAGAGCGGGCAGTAAGGTGGAGGAAAATGGTGGAGAAGGGAGGAGAGTGGATGGAAGAGAAGAGATAAGGGACTCCAGGAGGAGGGAGGAGGGAGGAGGGGCGAGAAAGAGATGGGAGGAGGGTGGAGGGAATCTCACCTGGTTGTAGTAGACAAAGCGAAGATGGAAGAGGAAGAAGAGAGTAACGGCGAACGCGAGGGAGCAATCGACTGTAGGAGACTGAGAGGAACGCACAGGAGGGGAGAGGGAGAAGAGACGTACATATAAAGGCCATGAATTTGAGGGGAGAGGGAAATCCATTGGAGTTGATGAGGAGGCCCTGGACCGAAAGAGGCCCGTGAATGAGCATGGCTGCAGGATAGTCAGAGGAAGCGCAGGGAATGGAAATTGGAGGGAGGGAGGAAAGGGAGGGGCAAGGAAGGAGAGCTGGATAGGTAAGGATAAGCTGAAGTCATCGACCTAGAACGAAGTCCAAGCAGCTCAAGACCACATAGAAGAGGAAGAGAATGAAAAACTGCAAAGAGATAATCAGCACCCCTCCTCCTCCTTCCTCTGCTTGCTACTTTGCGGTTGTAAAATCCGACGCAGTTGACAACCCAAGGGCAAAAGTGATCCATGTTGAGGACGAGGCGCTGTCAGAGGATGAGCCTCGAGCAAGACGTAGGAGAGGAGAAAGGACGGGGAAGACTGAGGGAGGGGCCGAACGGGCCGGAAAATGAAAGGGCGGAAAGGAGGAGAGTGGCATTGAAGGAGAGGAGGTACGAGAGAGCCGCACCCTTGTGATGGAGTCGAAGTGCGATCGAGGAGGTTTGTACATGTGACACTTGCGACAGATGCGATATCTTGACCTCTGTAGTGATGTCAACACAAGCCCAGCAAGACCGGAGCTGTACCAAGGGCGATCGGATGACAGCGTCATGCCATCGCTTCGGGACAGTTCCTGGATCGATGGCGACACATCTGACGACCCGTCAGCTCCTTCCTCTGCCTACCCAGCGCGCTCACTGGAAGTAGGAGACAAGCATGAGGAGTATGAGCAAGTGGAAGAGGGCGAGCTCGACTGTCAGGAAACGAGTGAGCGACAGTGCATGCCGTAAGAGAGAGGGTGTGCGATGGAGGAAAGGTTGAAGATAAGCTAGGGAAAGGGAAACAAGAGGAGGGGGGGGAGTGAAGGAGAAGGGTCATGAGCGAAAGGAGGAAGGATAAGAGGGAAGGGCGAAAGAAGTTGTGGGACGGGTGGGGAGAAGGGACAGACCAACAGAGGCGTCGGGAGTCTCGAAGACGTAAGCATAGTAGGTGAGACCCGTCAGACCCACGACGACGCCGATCATCGGAGACATGGACAATCTTTCATTGTTGGTCAGACAGCGAGAAGAATGTTGATTAAGTGAGGAAGAAGACGCGATGAGACAGGAGAGGTGGCAAGAACGACAAGAGGGGAATGGGGGAAGAAGTACAGTGAGGAGGTGGTGGAAGAGCAGGAGGAGGAGCAGGAGGAGGAGGAGCAGCAGCAGGAGGAGGAGGAGGCTCGCCTCACCTGTACACGCTGCATCCCGTGCAGTAGCTTGGAGGTTGGGGACAAGGATCCTGTGGTGTTGTTAGGAAGAAGATGCCTTCCTCGCTCCTCTAACCTCTGGGTCGCCTTTTTCAGGCAGCTGCTGGTAAGATTAGCAGAGCAGCGATGAGGATCGAGAAGGAGAAAGAAGGAAAGGCACCGGGTCATTGCACCGCAGACGCAGAAGCTCTTCAGCAGGGAGGAGGGAGGATCTACATATCGCATCAGTGCGGCAGCATCATGCCATGCTCTGATGTACCTCTCTATAGGGACGTCGCCTTCCCATTCCCCGCTGAAATTCCTCCGCTCGCCATCTGAGGCCCAGGTGAGCCCAGACGACGCATGCTTACGATTCATCAACACAGAGCTCTCCTCCTCCTTTACCTCCCTCCTCCCCGGAGTTCTCTCTCCTCCTCCTTTACCTCCCTCCTCCCCGGAGTTCTCTCTCCTCCTTCTTCCTCCTAGCTCTTCCTTCTCCTCCCTCCTCCTCTCCTCCTTCCATCCGCACCTGGTGCCCTCGCCATGGCTCCTTCCGAGGCCTCATACAGCCCCCCGGTGACGAAGGTAAATAACTACTGAGGCGCGGCGGCCCGATCCGAGTCACTGTCACGGTCCGATCGGAGAGTCACTGACGGTCACCGGGTGGCACTCAGGCCGCCAGCTCACTGAGACTACAGTAGACAGAAGTATGTAGGCTATCAGTGATAGGATTGTTGCTATGAAAGTTTGCTTGAGGGCACTTAGGAATACAATGTCTCCCCTCCCAGGAGAGGACTGGGAAACGGTTGCCCAGGTTGAAGTCATCAAAGCATCTTTTGCCATTCATGAGCATATTTTTGCAATTTAGCCTCATCCCACGCTCCGAAATTTCCGCATCCTCCACTCTCCTCCAACAAAAAACTTATGCGACAGTGCCAACAATGTTGTTGCCTCCTACATGCACTTGAACGCCATGCTAGCGGAGGAGTCAGAGGAAGGAGGCGAAAGGCAACTGAAAGGAGACCTGAAGAGGGCTCGTGTATCCGATGGCAGCAATCTGACCGGATGTGCCGCTGAGAGGACGAGTAAGTATCACCACAGAACATCCTCCTCCTCCGTCTTTACCTCCCTCCGAACTGAGCATATGGCAGGGTCCCCGGGGCATTAGGGTTGAGCAGCCCGTTGTAGACTGACTCTGGCAGAGGACGAGGAGTCAGCAGCTGCTGCCGCATCACCATCTACAGACCTGCTTGCGTCTTCAACTGGTAGGGGGGCTCTCCGTCTCTTCCAACCCCGAAGGTCAAGTCGACGGGAGTTCCTCCTCCCATGGCAAGGGCCTGCTCCACCTCAGCACGTGCGGGAAGGACGCGATTCAGGTGCTCACCTGGGTCTTGGCTGACGTACGTGCGCCGAGTTTCCCCTTGCTCGTCCCTCTCCTGCTGCTTGTCAAGATCCGGAAGCAGCAAAAACGTTGACCGAGAGACCTGGCAAGCTGCCTCTGCGATTGCACTCTGAGCTGTCGAAGAATCGTTTGCTGCGCACGAAGCTCAATCTCGTCAAAGTTGTGAATCTGCACGTTGAGAATGTAAGATGCTCCCCACGTTCACCATCCAAGAGTAGTACCTGCTTGGTTTCAGCTCCATCTCCATATCTTGCTTGAGTTTGATTCTCCGCAGCCTCTTGCGCTACTTTGGCACCGAAGTAGATGGCAGGGGTGCACTTCAACCAATGTCGTCCGCATGACTCCGAATCATGATTGCAGCAAACGTCCGTGTTCTGGCAATCCTTGTTCTCTACACATGACTGACCCATAAATCCATGCTTGATGATCGGTTTGCCGCTGAAAGGATCCTTTCCGTCTAGGTAGACGCCATACCCACTGCCAACCCACGACGGACCCTGAGCCTCCTCCCTCTCAGGAGGAGGATACTGCAACACTTCTTTCCGCGACATGCCGGGCCAGTAGGTCGATTCCCGTTGGTCATAGAAAGGGCTCTGATGAGCGAAGTAAGCCAACGGGTGGTAGGGAGTTGCGGTCCATTCCGGGTCTTCCCTGACAAGAAACGAGGACAGAGACTGAGGAGCCATACGATCGACAAGATAGGTTGGGGAGGAAGCCCTGTAGACGACTAAGACTACAACGAGCACTGAAAGCGATGCAGCAACGATGCTGGTCACATCTCTGTTGAACGCCATCTCGCTGACTACACAACACACTCGAGTTCGTTGGGTCTGTCATCACAAATTTTCAGAGGTTCAGCATTTTACAGATTCGAATACCTTGCCAGGTTCCTGCTCACCACATCAATGCCTGTAAGAGAGCGCTGTCAGCGTCGAGACATCGCATGAGCCATCAAGAGGAAACAACAGCTGCCAGAATGGAATCGTTGACTTGGAAGTGTGATAAGCGAGATGAGGCCCATGTTGAGAGCTTTGGATTATGAAGAAATGAGAACAAACGGTGAGAAGGGCTGGCAGGAAGAGGGTATCTCCAGGAAATAAGCAAGTCCACCAGGGGAGTCAGGAGAATGCAGAAAGCGGAAGCATAGACATGAGTGGAAAGGACAAGTCATCAAGTGGGAAAGAGAAAGTTTAGTTGAATTAACGAGGGATGGAGCAGGAAGAGGGAGAAGAAAAGGGAGGACGAAGGGGAGGTGAAGGTTTAGTTGGAGGTGGAGGTAGAGGTGGAGGTAGAGGTGGAGATGAAGGAAGTGGAGGAGGAGGAGGTGGTGGTGGTGGTAGAAGAGGAGCGCAGCATGTTAGTACAGACAGCATGAAGAGACACTCATTTCACGGATACCCTCGGATACTCCCGGATACTCCCGGATACCCTCGGATACTCCCGGATACCCTCGGCGGATATCCTTGGATACTCCTGGATACCCTCGGCGGATACTCCCGGATACTCACTTCGGATACGAGCACGACTTGCTTCTATATTTGGAGTCATTTTGCGTCGATTGCTACGAGGGGGTTAAAAAAAGATCAAAGTACCCTACCCCCATGTTTGTTCTAACAATCAGCATGCCCCCTACCCCCTCTGTGCTATACCACTACTTTTCTTTAAAAAGTACCCCTCCCTAGACTAAGTCACTCCACCCCCCACCCCCTCCACCCCCCTGGTTCTCCTCCCAAATCGTTTCCAGCCCATATTTCTTCCCTCCAGGTCACTTCCAATGCAGTTTGGAGTCGCTTCGGCTCTCCCGTCCTTCCCTGCCTCCGCCTCCTTCACAACATCCCTCAGCCTGCTGCCTCTCCTCAGTCACGACGTCCTCCTCTAGACCGGAGTCCTCTAGGCTCCCATCGCTCCGGCTCTCATCGCCCCTCTTTCGCCATTTTATCTCCGTTACCTTGATAACCCCCCGCCCTCAATGTGATCGTGACGCGAAACTTCAAAACAAAAAGATTTCCTTGCATTGGGGAATGAAACAGCGAGATAAGTGGGGTAGGGGGAGAGGGAGGGGGCAAGGTAAAGATAGTTGCATATTGACGTACTAGAAATGAGATGAAGGGCGTCTCATAGAGAGAGGAGAGAGACGAACAAGAGATCCTGATGTTGCCTTGCAGCTCCTCGGGACTGAGATGAGACGAAAGAAGATCAAGTTATGACAAGCAGAAGCTGAACGGAAGGTTTCAACTGATTCAACGAGAGTCTACTCGAGACGGACCAAAAATTAGTCATGGGCTCCAACAACATCGTCAAAGTTGCTCTGGTCGTCATGTTAGTGCTTGCGACTCCAGGTGAGTGCGTTGTTGTGAGCATATATTGCATATCCCCTCACCTGATATCCCTCAACTCCTCTTTGCTCGTGTTGTCGCTCTTGAACATGACAGTTTCTTGTTTCACTCTATACTGACAGGCTTCTCCACGGCCATTCCCGATGATCTTCATGGTCTCGCCGATCGCTGGGAGCAGTTCGCGAAGGGTTCGTCCACTGCGCTGCAGCGAACAAACTTCGGCGTGGTAGAGCATGACGGTCAAATTGCCATCTTTGGAGGCCAGAGACCGACGGGGAATGGTGCGATTTACCTCAACGACCTCTGGACGTTGCAGAGTGGTGGAGAGTTCAGTAACGTTGAATGCTGCGGGTGGTTGCCGAGAATGAAATTCGCGTATGCCGTTCACATAGTCAACGGAACAAGAACTCTCTTTGTCATCGGCGGCTACAGTTACAACGGAAACGTCCCCTTCTTCTACAGCGACGTCTGGGCGACGTCAGATTTTGCCAGGTTCTCCTTCGTCCAGTTGAGTCCTACAGGCTTCTTGCCTCCCTGCTCCGGCTGCGTCGCAGTATCCTTCAAGAGCTACCTCTTCCTCATCGGCGGTTGCTACAGCAGCGACAACAGCTGCGCCACCATGGTCACACAGATCTACTACTCCTCGGATGGTTCGGGCTGGCAGAAGGCAATTTCAGATTTGGACGCCATCACGCTTTGGGAAAACTCGAAACCTGACAATGTCATGGCGGCTGTGAACGGAGAGGACCTGGTCCTCGTGCAGTACAACAGCAACGGCAACGAAGTGTGGAGCTTGTCGTGGGATGAAAGAACGAAGAGGTTGAACATCGGAGCAGGTTCCATAGGAACGATCTCTTCCAGCAATGGGGGTGCTAAATTCTCTGCCGTCTTTCTGTCCTTGTTCTCAAACCTCTGGCTCCTTACTGGCAACACCTTCTCATCCACCAGCTCCTCCTACATTGTTTACAGCTCCGACAGCGGAGGATCTTGGGCCACGGACAGCACCCAGGACCAGCAACAGCAGCAGCTGCTCATGAGGGAACGAGCAGCAGGCATCGTGTGGAACAAACGGCTGTGCGTGCTCGGGGGAAGAACCTATTCGAACAGCGTCCTCTCGAACATGTGGTGTTCAGTACCGCCCAAATTCCCTGCTCCTTCTCTCTCTATCGTAGATCCGCCCTCGCAAGACGGTTGGTTCTCAAGTCCAGTCAAGGCATCCATCCGGACCGGAACAATCCCATCGGAGTCTTGTGCTGAGGTGCCTCCTCCTTCTCTCCCCCGATCTATCTCCCTCTACTTTCTCGCACCCCTCCCTCTGCTCGCTTCCTCTCTCCCTCCTCCGCCTTGCTTGTGCTGCATCCCTTGGTGCCTCGACCTGAGATTTGATTCAGATACGATTTCAAGTCACCACAGCTCAAAGTCCTGCTCCTCCTACTCCTCAAAACATCCTCTACTCCTCCTCCTTCAACATCGACCTTGGGGGGCTTGACAGCCAGGCCATGTACGTCTACATGCAGGTGAACTCGGAAGAAGCAGGAGAAAGGAGAAAGGGATGGAAGAGGAAGAGGACGAGGACGAGGACAACGACGGGGAGGGAGGGAGAAGGGAAGGGGAGGAGCAGGAGTGTGGATGAGCAGCAGCAGCAGCAGCAGCAGCAGCAGCGTCTTCTAAATTGCCTTCAGGTCACCTTCCCCTGCTCCGAGGGCTTCACGGCCTCGGACGTCTCCTCGACTCCCATCAATGTGATGCAGAAGCTGAGTAGCCCCTCCTGCTCCCCGAAGGGCTCGATCTCGGTGAAGGGAAGTGCAACAGCGACAGCCGAGCTTCTCTGCCAGACCAACGCAGCTGAAGTGACTGTGAGCTACTCCTACTCTGGAGATGCGAACACACTGCGGAACTCCAACTCCCCTGCCAGCCTTGTCCTCGTCGACGGAGCTTCCACTGTCAAGGTCTGCCGTCTGACATGCTTTACAAGCATCTGATGATTTGTTGCTTCTCTCTCCTACCCACACTCCTCCCTTCCTCACCCCATCCATCCCCTCTGCTTTCTGAACCTTCTCTCCACTACTATCTTCTCCTCCTGGGCTCCTCCCCCCCATTGACTCCTCCTCCTCCTGGACTCCTGCTGGCCTCCTTCCCAACCTCCTCCCCCCCCTCTCAGGTTTCCTGTAAGGCTCCTCACTGGGTGGACAGCGACGAAGTCTCTTTCTCCTTCACCGTCACGAGGGAGGCAGGGGAGGCGCCGAAAGGATCAACTTCCTCCTCCTACACCACCACGAGAGCCTCTAGCCCCATCGAGTCCACTCCTTCCCCCTCCCCCTCCCTCCCCCCGCAGTCTCCCTCCGTCTCCTTCCACAGCTTCTGCTGCGACCAGACGTGCAGGTCTACCTGCTTGCTGCAGACAGCGCAAGACGTCGTCCTGCACCTTCAAGGTTCCAACCTCAACAGGGTCGAGGACGTCAGGGTCGGTGGGCGAGCGTGCGGGAGGGTAGGGGAGGCAGCAGCCATCAGTCTTGTTTGCATCTTCGCCCCTGGGCTGGGAGAGGAGCAGGTGACGGTGGGATGGACCGACAGCGGCGAGACCCGGACCCTGCAAGTCGCCCGCATCGTCTACCCTGCTCCTGTCGCTGCCCTCCTCGCCTTCTCCTCCGCCCCCCCCTGCACAGGCGCCACCGTCACCATCTCAGGCTCCAACTTCGGTTCGCTCCTAGCTGGCCACGTCTTCGAGGGCGTCGCCTCCACCTTCCTCGGTCATGAAGTTCGCGGGATGGTGGGAGCCAGCTGGGCTAGGCAGGTCATGTGGGTCGCCGACTCGTCTGTTCTCGTCATGGCACCACCTGGAGCAGGAGCCCAGCTGCGAGTCCAGCTGTTCTTAGGTGAGGATGCCGAGTTACAAGAAATAGGACGAGGGGCAAAGATAGAGAGGAGCAGAAGGGAGGCGAAGAGGAAAGGGGAGGAGCAGGAGGAGCAGGAGGAGCAGAAGGAGCAGGAGGAGCAGGAGGAGCAGGAGGAGCAGGAGGAGCAGGAGGAGCAGGAAGACTGAGTGTATGCAGATGGAGTGGGCGTGGTGCAGCAAGCTTCCAGCTCGCATCAGTTCAGCTACTCTCCTCCTCGCATCTCGTCTGTCAGGCCCTCGATAGGAGGAGCAGAAGGCGCCATGCTGGTCACTTTGACGGGAGTCAACTTCGGTTGCACCGCCCCTGACCCTCCTGCTGTTCTCCTCGGCCCTCAGGCTTGCAAGGTTGCCTCCTCCCTTCCTGACCACCAGCACTTCTCTTGGCCCTCCTCATCATCATGATCATCATAAGCAGCAGCAGCAGCAGCAACACCAACACCAACACAACCTCCTCCTAAACCACCACCACCACCACCACCACCAACATTCTCCTCCTCCTCCTCCTCCTCCTCCTCCTCCTCCTCCTCCTCCTCCTCCTCCTCCTCCTCCTCCTCCTCCTCCTCCTCCTCTTCTCCTCTCATCTCTGCTCTCCCTCATCGTCTCCTGCTTCCCTCACCTCCGATTCACCATATCCTATCCTTGAAGCACATTTCTCACCCTCCTTCGTCTTCTTGATCCTCTTCCCCTCTCCTTGTTTGACATGATGTCAGTCCGTCACTCGTATCAGCGACAATCAGATCATTTGCCTGTCGCCTCCCAGGAATCAAAGTATTCAATCAACAAGCGTGAATGTCGAGGTGAAGATTGTTTGACCTGCAATATTCTCATCTCATATTCTCCCTCCCTCCCTCTCTCCCTCCCTCCGTTCAGGTACAAGTAGCGGGTCAGTCAGCTGTCTCCCCGAGCTCCTACCTCTATGTAGCAGCTTCGCAACCTGTCACCATCTTCTTCTCATCCCTTACAGAGGTGAGCAAAGTTCGGACTTCTCCTCCTCCTTTACCTCCTCCGTTACCTCCTCCTTTACCTCCTCTCTTACCTCCTCCTCCTCCTTTACCTCCTCCTCCTCCTCCTTTACCTCCTCCTTTACCTCCTACTCCTCCTCCTCCTCCTCCTCCTCCTTCACCTTCTCCTCCTCCTCCTCCTTTACCTCCTCCTTTAACTTCTCCTCCTCCTCCTCCTCCTCCTCCTTTACCTTCTCCTGCATCTGCTCCTCCTCCTCCTTTACCTCCTCCATCTCCTTTACCTCCTCCTTTACCTCCTTTACCTCTTTTACCTCCTCCTTGATTTGGTCCTCCTCATATTGCCAATCTACCTCCTCTCCTGGTCCTTTAACGCACAGACTCTAGGAGCAAGTCAAGAAGTTTATCCTGTTCCTATCGTCAAGGTTGAACGCATTGTCTGTCGATCAAGTACGAGAGAGATGGAGCGAGCAAAAAGATTGAT